AAGAAACGGTCAGGCGGAAAGTGGAAGGTTGGGCGCGCGCGCCAAGTTCAAATGCACAGGAAGGGGGCGCAGTAAGCAGCCCGGAAAGGGAGCCAGGTCCTAAAGCCCGACGCAAGGAGACAGAAGGGTCCGGGGGGTCAGCGTCAGAAGCGTCCCGGAAGGAAGAGACCACGGGGGGCAGAGGGACCCAGAGAAGAACGGTCAGGCGGAAAAGGTGGAGTAAGGCTAGGGCATTTAGCTGGTGTACAGGGGGCAGAGACTCAGACGGAGCTTCGCCGGTCTAACCCATAAGACGTAGAGTTGCACGCAGCAGCTTGAGAATGGAAACTGTAACTCAATAAAGACTTTTACAAAGTGATCGCTGGCTAGCGTGATCCTCTGTGAGCTAGGATCTGGAAGCAGCTCTGACAATATACAATAAATGTTCATAATGTACCAACCAAGCGCATACATAGATATGTGGACCACATGTCTGGAGCAGCACAGGAAGACCGTCCTGAAACCATTTAGACCCCCCAACTGACCAAATGTTTTCTCTGCAAGGAGGGAGTGGGTGAGGGAACCTTCCCATTGTCTCAGGGATTGGGAAATCACCATCTTAAGCGAATGGCCAGACTACCAGGAAAGGGAATCAGATAAGGAATTATCAGATAACCTGGCAGACAGGAAAAACAACATTCACATTTCTGTTGTAGACCACCTTTTCTGTGATGCAGGTATGATGTTTGTGGGGGGTGGTCCTGGGTTACACCCCTTCTGTGATGTATGGAGGGGTGGTCTGGAGCTCCAGGGCAGGGAATTTAAAATGTCTATATAAAGGCAGGCAAACCTTTCTTCTGGGTCCTCCTCCTTTCCTGCGTGTTAGGGGAGCAACAGATCAATCAAGATCAGGCTTACTAGCTGCTTTGCCTCTCAATATTCTCTGGATGTCTCTGTTATTTCCTCCTACCGATGGAGAACCTACAAGGGACTCTATAAAGGGCTCTTGTGTCCCCCATAAGGGAAGAAGGGCAGCTTTTGTTTACAACAGATGGCACCCCAGATGGGACCTTCGGTTGCCCAGATTCTGGGGGTAAGGAAGGACTGGTGATCCAGCGCGCACCAGGCCATTTGCCAGGAGGAGCCACCAGTCCTCTAGTGACCCCAGGGTCTGGAAAGAAGTGGAGTCCCAGTGGGGCTAACCAGAGGAAGCAACGCTTGATCAGGCCGGCCTCAAATTTATTTTTAAAAATAATCTTTATTGATTTAAATTACACACATATACAAAGAATTTGGAATCTCATACTGCAAAAAGAAAATTAAAGAAAAAACAATGAAGAATAAAGGAAAGAAGAAAATACAGAAAAAGAAAGAAGAAGCAGATTTATGTGCATGAAAAAACTTAATCTTCCTAATTAAATAAAAAAGACTTCTGACAAAACGAGTCTTCCAATCATTCTCATTGTACTGTTTATACTGTCATTTTTTCTGCACAGTTTTATTCTTTAATATTGTTCCGGTTTACTCCACAAACAGCATTTGTTGTGTTTACAAGTATCACTCAAGTTCTGCTAATATGGAGTGGTTGGTACAATATGATCTTTTATAATCCTTAAATATTCTCCATTCTCCAAATATTTTCCGGTTCAATACTCCTCTAACTCTTCCCGTCAGTTTTGCTAGTTGTAAATATTCTAACATGAGTATATGGCTTCTCTTGGTGATGTCCACAAGGGTATTTTTGGCTCAAATATTCCTTTATATTTACTCCAGATTTTATTTCACATGGCTCAAAAATCCCCTGTGGACCTTCACTTTTCCGTATATTAAAGAAGCGTGCCATCCAGACCGATTCTTGTGGCCTTCCAAGTCTAATAGGTCCGTATCTTTTAGTGTAATCCAGTCTTTTTCAAACCAATCCTTCCGCCGCATGGTAGAATTCCAAATCTGGCAATGCAAAACCTCCTCTCTCCTTTTGATCTGTTAATAACTGGTGTTTAATTCTCGGTTTCTTTCCACTCCATATAAATCGAGACATTTCCCTTTTCCACTCCTTAAAACAATTCATTCCTCCTAAAATGGGTATTGTTTGGAATAAGAACATCATTTTGGGGAGGATATTCATTTTCACAACCGAGACTCTTCCCCAGAGTGAGAGATGGAGTTTGGTCCAGGTTTCCATATTTTTAAAAAGTTCTTTCCATACTTTACTATAATTATCCTCATATACATTTATACTTTTATTTGAAATCCAGATCCCTAGGTATTTAACCTTATTTTTAGTTTCCAGGCCTGTTTTTTCTTGAAGTTCTTTTTTTTCTTCCATTGTGAGGCTTTTTGTCAGTAATTTAGTTTTTTGGTAGTTTATTTTCAGCCCCAGGCCGGCCATAAATTAATCTAGTAAAAGACCCTGGGATGGCCAGGAGCAGCGCATGCGGACGTGAGTCTAGGAATGGAGAAGATTGTGGGCGGGATTCTCTGAAACACCCAGCAACCCAGATTCTCATCCTTTGCTGTCTCTTTTGCTGACGGTCTTCACTCCAACCCTTCCTGGCAAGAGGTAGCTAGGAGGGGGAGGGGAGAACGGGAGAATTGGGGTTCTGCAATTAGAGGGGCAATTAACTGCAAGGGGAGAACGCCAATCAAAGCTTTCATTCCCTGTCGGGGAACCTGAGATCTGAAACTTTTCCTTTTCCCCAAGGAAGACGCCCCAAGGCTGGTCCAAGTGGCCAGTTTGGATAGCGAGGGACTTGGGCTTGGTTTCCGATTTCTCTTTTTCTCGTAAATGCAGCTGCACCGGAGCACAATGATCCGGAAGGAAGTGACTGGTGCGCGTCAGAGCGCAAGGGCGTTTACAGTTCCTTTCCGTTCTCTCTGGAGCAGCCGGATTTGGCACTGGGCTGCCAGGCGTCCAGTGGAAAGGGACTCTTTTCCCTAGAGGCTGAAAAGGTTGCTGGGACCCCATGGTAAATAAAGGGAGGGAGAAGGACTTTGTAGAGAAGACGAACGACTGTCAGGTCAGGAAAGACCTGGGAAAAGGCTAGCGGGTTTTTGTTTTGGTTTTGGTTGAAAAATGGGATCCCCACAATCTAAGCGTTCTAACCCCCAGACTCAGAGGCATGTGCTGGTCGCAGCAGGAGGGGGGTCTCCCTGGATGTTTCAGCAGCCGGCCTCCTCTGGGTCTCCTGGCCCCCTCCTCTCCTCCCTCTGAGCCTGAACTGCTCTCTGCCCCAGACTTTTCCCACTCACCTAACCCAGTTTCCTCCTCAGCTTGCAACATCTCCCCTTCCGGTCTGCTCCCTTTTCTCCTTCTTTTGCCTCATCCCATCACCAGTCAACAGGATCTGAGCCTTCTTCCCTTGTGGGTCCCCCAGCTGGTGCCTCCCCCCATCAGCCAGTCCTTGACAACAACAGCAGCCACAGCACTGTGGTCCTCTGGTAGGAAAACTCCTGAGAAGCATGATTGAAGCAAGCCTTCTGGGACTATGGAAAAATGCTATCTTCCTCAAACCCCAGAATGAGCAGGAGCTCTGGGGTTGCCCCATGGGGTTCATGAGTGAAGATGCCCCCCCCAGGAGACTTCCCTGGTATCTGCAGCCCCTCATTCCCCCTCTTGAAATTAGACTTGGGGGGGGGGAATCTCCCATTCAATTACAGTATTTCAAGTTTTCTTCAGAACGCGCAGGGCAGGAGGCAGCGATGACATTCTGGTGAAGAAGCAGTGCTTGGAGATCATGTGGTGGTGGTGACAGAGTTTGGTACAAAAACCAAAAGTACTTTCATCTAAAATTATACTCACCATTGTGAGATGCTGCCTTCATTATTTGATTATTGTAATGTTTTACATATAAAGACCAGAACTTCACATATACCTCATGCTTTTAGGAATGATTTCCTGCTGAGTTCATTGCTCAGAGTGGACTCTGAGAGGAAGAAGTCCCACACTCCATACATCTAAATGGGTTCTCCCATGTGAGAGTCCTGGGATGTTCCTTGATCACTCCATTATAAATAAAGCACTTCTTGCAATCTTTTCATTTAAACTGCTTCTTCTCTCTGAGTTTGTTGATGGTTTGAAGGGTTTCAACTCTTAGAGTTCTTCCTGTCCGTGAGTCTGTTGATTTTCAACTTCCACTAAGAGTGAACCTCTATCTACTTTCCTGATATTTATACGGTTTGTCTTTTGTGTAAGTTTGTTGACATAAATCAAGGGTTCCACTCTGACTGAAGCTCCTTCCACAGTCCATACCTTTAAATGGTTTCTCCCCTGTGTATCTACTGATGTTTTCTAAGATTTCCACTCTGAGTGAAGTATTTACTGTACTCCATACATTGAAAGGGTTTCTCTCCTATATGAGTCCATTGATGTGATCTAAGGCTTGGATTACAATGGAAACTCTATCCACACTCTATACATTTATGTGGTTTCTCCCGTGTGTGAGTCCGTTGATTTTTTTTCCAGTGTTCCACTCTGACTGAAGTCCTTTCCACACTCCATGCATTTAAATGGTTTCTCCCCGTGTGACTCCGTTGATGTGATCTAAAGTGTGCACTCTCATTGAAGCTCTTTTTCACACTCCATACATTGAAATGGTTTTCTCCGTGTGAGTCCGTTCATGTCTTCTAAGGCTTCCACTTTTAGTAAAGCTCTTTCCACACTCGATACATTTAAATGGTTTCTCCCCTGTGTGAGTCCGTTGATGTGATCTAAGGTGTCCAATCTGACTGAAGTCCTTTCCACACTCGATACATTTAAATGGTTTCTCCCCTGTGTGTGTCTGTTGATGTCTTCTAAGTGTCCACTCTGACTGAAGTCCTTTCCCACAACTCCATTGCATATCAAAAGGTTTGCTCCCCTGGTGTGAGTCCGTTGATTGATCTAAGGCTTCCACTATCTACTATAAACTCTTTCCACAACTCCATGACCATTTAAATGGTTTTCTCCTCCTGTGTGGAGTCCGTTGATGTGATCTAAAGGTGTCCAAGTCCTTTCCACACTCCATGCATTCAAATGGTTTCTCCCCTGTGTGAGTCCGTTGATGTGATCTAAGGCTTCCACTATCACTATAACTCTTTCCACACTCCATACATTTAAATGGTTTCTCTCCTGTGTGAGTCCGTTGATGTGATCTAAGGTGTCCACTATGACTGAAGTCCTTTCCACACTCCATACATTTAAATGGTTTCTCTCCTGTGTGAGTTCGTTGATGATTTCTAAGGCTTCCATTTTCACTAAAGCTCTTTCCACACTCGATACATTTAAATGGTTTCTCCCCTGTGTGAGTCCGTTGATGTGATCTAAGGTGTCCAATCTGACTGAAGTCCTTTCCACACTCCATACATTTAAATGGTTTCTCCCCTGTGTGTGTCTGTTGATGTCTTCTAAGGTGTCCACTCTGACTGAAGTCCTTTCCACACTCCATACATTCAAATGGTTTCTCCCCTGTGTGAGTCCGTTGATGTGTTCTAAGGCTTCCACTATCACTAAAACTCTTTCCACACTCCATACATTTAAATGGTTTCTCTCCTGTGTGAGTCCGTTGATGTTGTCTAAGGTTTCCATTATCACTAAAGCTCCTTCCACACTCAATACATTCATATGGTTTCTCTCCTGTGTGAGTCCGTTGATGTTTCCTAAGGTTTCCACTCTGACTGAAGCTCTTTCCACACTCTATGCATTCAAATGGTTTCTCCCCTGTGTGAGCCCATTGATGTCTTCTAAGTTTTCCATTATCACTAAAGCTCTTTCCACAATCAATGCATTTAAATGGTTTCTCCCCTGTGTGAGTCCATTGATGTTGTCTAAGGTTTCCATTATCACTAAAGCTCCTTCCACACTCAATACATTCATATGGTTTCTCTCCTGTGTGAGTCCGTTGATGTTTCCTAAGGTTTCCACTCTCACTGAAGCTCTTTCCACACTCTATGCATTCAAATGGTTTCTCCCCTGTGTGAGCCCATTGATGTCTTCTAAGTTTTCCATTATCACTAAAGCTCTTTCCACAATCAATGCATTTAAATGGTTTCTCCCCTGTGTGAGTCCATTGATGATTTCTAAGTTTTCCATTATCACTAAAACTCTTTTCACACTCCATACACTGAAATGGTTTCTCCCCTGTGTGAATCCATTGATGTCTTCTAAGTTTTCCATTATCACTAAAGCTCTTTCCACACTCGATACATTCATATGGTTTCTCCCCTGTGTGTGTCCATTTGTGCAATTTAAGGTTTCCACTCTGACTGAAGTTCTTCCCACACTCCCTGCACTTAAAACGCTTTCTCTCTGTGTGAGTCCACTGGTGTGTTCTAAGTTTTGCATTGAAAGAGAAGCTATTTCCGCACTCCATACCTTTTAAATGGGTTCTTTCCTTTTTTTGTTTGTTGATGTGAACTATGTGTGCTCATTCAGTGAAGCATATTCCACATTTCACACATTTTAATGGCTATTCCTAATGAAATGAAAGGTGCCTTGTCCCCTGCAATTCTGTCTTCTCCATCACCTTTTTCAGAGTGGGCAGAAAGGAAATCCTGTTTGGGTTTCAAGGAAGAGAACACAGGGGAAAAAGGACACATCAACCGCCATTAGACCTTCTCTTATTTCAACATCTCCTACATTCTCCCATGTCCTCCCCATGTTCCCAATTTTTAGGAAATGAAAATGGTATGATGTCAAATGGTAGTAATGCATCAGGAACCTTTCATAATCCTCAATCATCTTTAATAACACAGCATGATCTTGGAATACTGTTGTCCTGTGGGACTGCCTTTCAAATCAAGTGGTTGCCCCCATTTCGACCCCTAGATCTTCATGAATCACCTTCACAGTTCCGCTGACCTCAGGAGGTCCATATGGACTATTTTGGGAGACCCAGGCCTTCATCTCTTCCAGGGACTGTGGTCTGGGTCAGTCAGAGAACTAGTGACAAGGCTTGGTGCTTGGGGTCAGCTGAATGGGTGCTCAGGGAAGCTCCTGTTCTTGGAGATGGACCTCTGTCTACGTGCCTCACATTGCATGGAGAGAGCAGGAGAAGCAGAAGGAAAGCAGATGGGAATCCCAGGCGGAAACACCCACCCCAATGGTTCTTTATAATGATGATGTGCTGCCTGATCCTCTGCTTGTCTTCTGACAAAGGACTATCCTAATCTGGCACTGAAAAGCAGGATAGTCAAGGCAAGGAGATAACTGTACTTAATGGGAGGTCGATATATTGGTCTGACACTGTTGAAGTAAAAAATTAACAAAAATAGTCCAGTAGCAACTTAGGGTCTTGGGAGAAGAGCAATGACAAACCTAGACAGCATCTTAAAAAGCAGAGACCTCACCTTGCCAACAAAGGTCCTTATATTTAAAGCTATTGTTTTCCCAGTAGTGATGTATGGAAGTGAGAGCTGGACCATCAAGAAGGCTGATCGCCGAAGAATTGATGCTTTTGAATTCTGGTGCTGGATGAGATTCTTGAGAGTCCCATGGACTGCAAGAAGATCAAACCTCTCCATTCTGAAGGAAATCAGCCCTGAGTGCTCACTGGAAGGACAGATCCTGAAGCTGAGGCTCCAAGACTTTGGCCACCTCAGGAGAAGAGAAGACTCCCTGGAAAAGACCCTGATGTTGGGAAAGATGGAGGGCACAAGGAGAAGGAGACGACAGAGGACGAGATGGTGGGACAGTGTTCTTGAAGCGACCAGCATGAGTTTGACCAAACTGCGGGAGGCAGTGGAAGACAGGAGGGCCTGCTCTGGTCCATGGGGTCACGAAGAGGCGGACACGACTAATCGACTATAAAACAACAACAACAACAGCAACTTAGGGACCAACTAATTTTGGTCTAGGCATTAGCTTTTGTGTGCATGCATACTTCTTCATATAGTGATGGGTAGTGGGAGATGGTAGTAGGAGTACCCTTCAGAGAAAAACCCCAACCCACCCTCCCACGATATACAAGGGTCTGGTGACATCTGCTTCAGTGTATCTGAAGAAGTGCGCATGCACACAAAAGCTTATACCTAGAAGAATCATAGTTGGTCTCTAAGGTGCTACTGGACTATTTTTTATTTTTTTATTTCAACTGCGTCAGACCAATACGGCTACCTACCTGAATCTAGATGTCATGGGGTGTTGGGGAGCAGTAGTTCCTTTGGTGGGGGACATGTCCTGCACATCCTGGGGTCATTTTTCCACCCTTGGTCCCCACCCTGCACTCAGCTCTCACCTGTGGCTTCCAGAAGCTGTCAGCATGCAACAGGGGTTCAAGCAACGGCTTCAACCGGCCGGCTAAACCAGGTGAGGAAAGCTGATGGGTCTCAAATCCTTGGGGGGCTGGGGAATTCTGCTGCCCCTGAAGTCAAGCCCTGGTGGATGGAGAGGAGAACAACCGTGAATCCCACAGTCCAGAAGGCAGATTCTGCCCATGCGGAAGAGGAACGTGAAGGGCAGATGGGGCACGTCCACCTGGAGGCTTGTTATCTAGTCCCAGGGTTACTCTGACATTGAATTATAGATAAATTACAGTATTGAAATGTGCCTGCTCCCACTTCCTATTCTGATATTACTCTACTCTGTTTGTCTGTTTCTTACTTGAGTGCTGTTTTGGTATGCTAAGTCATGGTTTTACTGTCAGTTACATTTTTGCTATTTTTTGGATCTTGTTATGCTTATTTGTCTTCAGTACAGTCATACCTCATGTTATGTAATAATAATAATAATAATAATAATAATAATAATAATAATAATAATAATAATAATATCTTTATTGTCATTGCCCCCTCTCGGGGACAACGAAATTACTTGCTTCAGGTTGTGCCTTTTCGGGTTGTGTCCTGTGGCATCCCAGTTACTTCCGGGTTTTGCCGCTCGTGCATGTGCAGACGTGCAAAATCAGGTCACGTGCATTTGCAGAAGCAGCGAATCGTGACCCATGCATGCACAGACGTGGGTTGCATTCTGCTCATGTTGCGAACTGGCCACCAGAACGGATCCCGTTCGCAACCAGACGTGCCACTGTAATAGATTTCTCAGCTGAATTATTTTTTTCTGCCTCTGAGCGTTTTTTGCTACTCTGCTAATTATATCTCAGACTTGCTCTGGAGATCGTTATGGAGGAGCAAGATCTGCAACCTAAAGCCATAAACAGCCTCGGCGCTGTAGACCTGAAGGAGCATCTCCACCCCCATCACTCAGTCCGGACAAGGAGGTCCTCCTCCGAGGGTCTTCTGCTGGTTCCCTTGCTGTCAGAAGTGAGGTTCCAGGGAACCAGGCAGAGGGCCTCCTGCCCCATGGAATGCCCTCCCTTCAGAGGGCAAGGAAATGAGCAGCTATCTGACATTTAGAAGACAGCTGTATCAGGAGGTTTGTAATGTTGGATGTTTTACTGTCTTGTATATGTACTGTAAGCTTCCCAGAGTGGCTGGGGAAACCCAACCAGATGGGCAGGGCATAAATTCTGCAATCATTCTTTTCATCCCCCTGAGCACGGCCATGGCTGGGGAGGGTGGGGTATAAATAAATTATTATTATTATTATTATTATTATTATTATTATTATTATTATTATCATAATCATCATCTTGTGATTTTTTAAAGTTATTTTGAAATTCATACTGCAATATTAGCTTACAAAATGTTATGGATGGAGAAAATCACAGGGTTGCCATAAACTATAATCCCACCCAAAAACTCTCATTCACATACAGTCTGTACATTTGGGGAGGTCACACACCTCACCTGTGCTAATACTGGCAGTCTTTGGCCTGCACAGGCACACCCGGTGTGTAGAGCCTCCAGCCACAGGCACTGTCTATCATGAAAATGGGTCCTTTGACTGGGAAGATTCATGCACTCGCTGTCATCAGATGATGATGGGTTGTATCTCAGCTTGTCAGTCACTCTGGCATTGCCTACAAAGAATAAGAGGAACAGAAATGCTTTTGAGGTGCAACTTCTGTATCAATCCTGAGAGCCATTTCCATGGACTCTGCACCCCTGTTTCTGATGACAGGTGTACATTATCCTCATCCTCAGTGGAAAAGACAATAAAGATGGAAGCCTGAGAGAGAGGAAAAGGTTTCTGGCTGCTTCCTGGGTGGGATTGCGGAAACCAAGAGCCGCTTCTGAGAAGGCCTCTCCCCTCTTCCTCTCGGGATTTCCTCTCCTCTCCAGGGGAACAATGGCTGGAATTGGAAGAACCGCTGCGTCCGGACAGGGCAGGGGCTTATGGGGTGGGAAGAGGATGGAGATTACAGGAAGGAAGAGGTGGGGGGATATGACCCCCCACTTTCCAGGGATCCCTCTCTGGTCGCCTTGAAGGGGTGGCCCATTCCTGGGAGGGAGGGAGAAGCCAAGGTGGCCCCTCCAGAGAATCCCTGCGGGCACCACGATGGAGATGTCTCCCCAAAGACTGGTCTTCCTAGCTCTCCCCCCCCCCAATGCTGCTGGGATGCTCCCCTCCCTCCCCCCCCCACTTCCTCGACCCCCTGCCTCTCTCCCAGAGTCTCCCCTGCACCCAGAGGCCCCCTTGGCCCGGCCCAATCCTCGCCATGCGCGCCCCATCTTTCCATCCGGAGGGGCCACCCCAAGACGAGATGGGGAGGGACGGGGTGGGGTCTGTAGCGCCCGTTAATCCTTTCCAGGCCCGACTCTCTTCCCGGGAACCCCACAGCGCCCGGGGGATGCCTGCGTATGGGAAACGGGGCAAGGAGGCCCTCGTGGGGACCCCCTGGGTGGGGGCTCCATGTCCGCCCCTGCCAAGGCGCCTAAGGGGCCAAGGAAAGCCCCCTTCGCAGCACACGTGCCGGGATCCAGGCCCTGCCACGGGGCCCACGGAAGGCGCTTTGGGGAGCTGGCGGGGGTCTCTGGGTCCTTTTCTCCCCCCTCCTCCCCCCGCGACCCCTTTACCTCTTTGTCCTCCCTCCCGATTCTCCTTTCCTTTCCTGCAACATCCGGGGGGGGGGTTTCCCTGTCGCCCCTCCTCCCCTTTCCGAAAGCGCGCCCCTAGAGCTATGGGTCAGAGCAGCAATCCGGAGTGGAAGCTCCACGTCCGGCAGAAGCAGGCAGGTTGGGAGGGGGGCTCACCCCCCCCCCATTCCCGGAGCAGAAGCCGGATTGGAGGAGGAGGAGGAGC